TGCTCAACCACCACGTCAGCTGCGCTGCTGCTGCACCACCGTTCAGCTGCTGCTGGCAGCTTCAACCACCGTTCCGCTGTGCTGCTGGCTGCAGCAACCATCCGTCCATCTGCTGCTGCTGCACACCACCGTCAGCTGCTGCTGCTGCAGACCACCGTCAGCTGCTGCTGCTGCACCCCGTCAGCTGCTGCTGCTGCACCACACCGTCAGCTGCTCTGCTGCACCACCCGTCAGCTGCTGCTGCTGCACCACCGTCATCTGCTGCTGCTTGCACCACCGTCAGATGCTGCTGCTGCACCACCGTCAGAGCTGCTTGCTGCACACCGTCAGCTGCTGCTGCTGCAAACCACCGTCAGCTGCTGCTGCTGCACCCCGTCAGCTGCTGCTGCTGCCACCACCGTCATCTGCTGCAGCTGCAAAGCTGCACCACCGTCAGCTGCCTGCTGGCTGCACCACCGTCATCTGCTTGCTGCTGCACCACCGTCATCTGCTGCTGCTGCACCAACCTGTCAGCTGCTGCAGCTGCACCCCGTCAGCTGCTAGCTGCTGATACCACCGGTATCTGCTGCTGCTGTACCACCGTCTGCTGCTGCACCACCGTCAGCTTGCTGCTAGCTGTAACCACACCGTCAGCTTGCTGCTCTGTACACCCACGTCAGCTGCTGTACACCGTCTGCGCGCAGCCAACCGTCAGCTGCTGCTTGCGTACCACCGTCATCTGCTGCTGCTGCATGCTTGTACCACTGTCAGCTGCTGGCTGCTGCAACCAAACCGTCACTGCTGTCTGCTGCTGTACAACCGTTCAGCTGCTCTGGCTGCTGTACGTCAGCTGCTCTTGCTGCTGTACCCACAGTCAGCTGCTGCCTGCTGCTGTACCACAGTCAGCTGCGCAGCTGCTTTACACCGTCAGCTGCTGCTGCTGCTGCTGCTTGTACCACCGTCCGCAGCGCTGCTGCTGCTTGCTGCTGTAACCACCCGTCAGCTGCTGCTGCTGCTTGCATGCTGGCTGTACCACCGTACTGCCTGCTGCTGCTGCTGTAACCACCTTCAGCTGCCTGCTGCTGGCTGGCTTGTACCATCGCACCGTCAGCTGCTGCTGCTGCTGCTGTACCCACACCTCAGCTGCTGCTGCTGCTGTACCACCTTGTCAGCTGCTGCTGCTGCTGCTGTAACCACCTGACAGCTGCAGCTGCTGCTGCTTGTACCACCGTCAGGCTCTGCTGCTGCTGCTTTAACCACCGTCAGCTGCTGCCTGCTGCTGCTGTACCACCTTCAGCTTCTGCTGCTTCGGCTGTACCAACCATCAGCTGCTGCTGTGCTGCAAACCACCATCAGCTGCAGTTTCCCTGTACCACACACCATCAGATTGCTTGCTGCGTTACCACCATCAGCTGCTTGCTGTAACCACCATCAGGCTGCTGCTGCTGGCGTACCACCATCAGCTGCTGCTGCTGTACCACCGTTGTTGGGTGGCTTATTGAAAATACAGAAACCAATAACCCCAAGAGGATTTGCCACCAGATAACCCAAAAAAGTAAGTGTCATGAAGACTTAACTTATTTCCATTGGGGTCCTTAATCTTGTCTCCCAGGATGCAAAACCCACACCATCGAACTAGAAACACCCCCAGGTGAACAGGAAAAATGGCCTGGAACTAGTGCCCATTATTGGTGATTTAAAGCCACAAAGGTTTGGTTAGAGAGATTTAAGAATCGTATGCATACACACTTGTGATAAGGCCTTTTCTGGAAGAAAATGCCAAACAGGACCTACAGTACTCTCAGGAGGAAAAGGCCCTCCCGGGGCAGGACACAGTGTCTCATCGTTTTATTGCTGCATCTACAATAAAGGTGTCATTTATTCTTCTTTATAGAGTAGTACATGCCACAATATATATTGTCATGTACTACTCGTTACTATTGTGCATGTACAGACTATACAATTTGTGCATGTATCCTTCTCTGTGTGGTAGGAAAATGTAATTTCATGTGGTAAAAAAAAATTTTTCATACTTTTGGCGTCCTTGCACGGATTAATTTGATTTTCCATTATTTCTTATTGGGAAAATTCATTCAGCAAATGATAATTTCGCATAACAATGAGGTTTACATTATTTATACACTGTAGTTTAATAGCAAATAATGAACAAACAAACACTCACCACACTGAGTGGTGGGAGGCTGGCTGCTGCCAGTTTGCGGGGTCGAGGAGGGTAGTAGGGAACTCGCAGTGTTGGAAACTCAATATGATTATGACAGCTGAATATGTGGTTGGGAATTTGCGAAAGTGTGAAGCCGTGAAAGTTGAAAAACGTGAATGTTTTGAGGGAGACCTGTAATACTCAAATTCCATAGCGCTTCAAATCAGGCAGGAGAAAGCTGGTAGGCCCACATGTGAGAAATGGGTCTGTGTGGTCAGTGTGCACCATAAAAAAAAAATCCTGGAAGCATGCAGTGCATAAAGAAAAAAAAAACACCAACCTTTTTTTTTTTTTTTTTTTTTTTTTTTTTTTTTTATTAAAAATGCAGACATTGTGGGTCTATTTTCGTATAGTAATTTGGTGTTGTATTTCTCGTTTTCTTGTCTCATTTGACAGAATGGAAACTAATATAGAAAATAAGGTGGGATTTTGATTAATTTTTCTATAAAAAACCTGGAAAAATGGAGTTCACAAAGCACGGGAAATGTTCGATTTTTGCCGATGTTCAAAAGTAAATCAAATTCAATTGTCAATAAATGTCCAACTAGCCATTCTAATTAATGCAGTCATTAAAGGGTTGATGTAATTTATACCATTATTACAGTATTTCAGGAGTCTGCATAAACAGTAAATCTATATTTTTTGTTGAATAAAATTTTAAAATAAAAAGCAAGAGTAATATCAGAGGGGCACTGGAGAACATGACTGAATGAACAAAGAAAATGTTATTTTTAAAGCCAGGAATGTCTGCATTGTTCATTCCTGGTCCTTATTTTGAAATTGAGTCATTTTTTAATTTTCGTAAAATTGGCCACAATTGCAAAATTTCTGACCATGTTATTGGGTAGTTGAAAATCGGTAAATGGGCAGTTTTTCTACTCAATCGATGGAAAAATGGAGTTTCTGAAGAAATGGCCGATAGTTTGGTTGACTGGAAATAATGGAATAGCCGAAAATAGGGCTCAAAGTGAGAGAAATAGCCGATTTGTAAATATTTCCGAGGTCGCTAACTTCGAGAGAGCGTAATTCCGTCATTTTCCATCAAATTTCGTTATTTTTGGTGTCCTTATAATCGTGAAAAGATTATCATTTTCAATTTTTTTTTTTTATTTTTTTTTTTAAATTTTGCGACACCAGGAGACACCTCAGATTGGGGGGTTGCGACAGTTCAAAGGTTGAAGTGCAGGCATTGGTACTTCCAATTTCCAGTACGTCAAGTCTGGCTATATAAAAAAACCAGTTTCCCTGAATCCCTTCACTAAATATTACCCTGCTCACACATCCAACACTCATCAGAAATCTGTAAGTTAGAAGTATTCAAGAGGACTTGACTTAGTGAACCCAACACTCTTTACCTCCTATGATACAACTTAACCACAACGCTTCCTTTTCTCGTATAGCCTACTGAAAAAAATGTATACATTTAATGTAAAAATATTCGGACTTCATAAAAAAGTTTTCTTATGTCCTGCAAAACTTCACATCAGTTCCTATTTGACTTACTACAAACTTGTATACTGTACTGTGCATACACTGTTACAAATTCATGGATTTTCAAGTTTTAATATTCAAATTGGACAAGAAACTGTATAAACAACCGACCTTATGAAATTGCCTTTGGTAATAAAAAATATAAACTTGTGTAGGAATACCAAAATTAAATCTACAAAGATACAGTATGATGCTGTTAAAATAATTGGATGCTACCATCTTGCAACCCAGGTGGGGGCGACCTGACAAGAACTTGCACCACCATTTTCACAGACGTAACCAACACCACAGCTGATAAATAAGACATGAGTCAGCACTTGGGTAATCCTTATTGAGGAAACATTTCACCACAGTGCTTCATCAGTTCCATACAAAGGAGAGCGATAAAGAACAGGAGTTTGGAGGTAAACAGTCCAATCAGCCTTGAGTTTCGATGTGGTTCAGTCCCATCAATCTAGAAATGAATACAGCATACGTGCGAAGAAGTAGCTTATATACCGTAGGCATGAGGAAGCATCAGTCGTAGGTGTATCACATTTGACCAATGTGGAAGTAGGTCCAGACCAAGGCTAGGCAAGTGAAGAATTTTCCCAGTATAAGATCCCAAGATGTTGCTGTATCAGATGGAAATGTAGATGAAACTGTTCAGAGAACCGACAAGTAATAAATTAGAACATGTGCAACAAGTTGGGATATTTTTAGTGAGGACAAGTTTCGCCACAGTGGCGAAACGTTATATGCCTACGGTAATATAAGCTACTTCTGTGCATCACATTCGATTCTTTCCAAGATTAATGAACTGACCACATCAACTCCAGGCTGAGGGACCTATTACCTACAAACTAGCTACTCCTGTTCTTTTAAACCGCTCACCTTTGCATGAACAGATGAAGCCACTGTGTGGCGAAACGTTTCCTCATTAAAGATACTCCAAGTGTTGCTCAATGTTTAATTTATCACTTTTCGGTTCTTTGAACCATTCATCTACAACTCTACAGCTCAAGAATGCCTCTCCAAACTGAAATATCCCACCCGCCCCGAGAGCAGGCACTGTACTTTCCCACCTCGAGGACCCTAGTTTAGACCGACTGGGTTTCCAGGAATCCCTTCAAAATTTTTCTTTGCTCAAATACCAATCAGCAAATCATTAAAAAGCAACTTAACCCACCCCCCCTTCTCTATCTATCATGTTCAACACATGTCTGATGAACATCTAAACACCATTATACAAAAGCTTCCTTTACTCACCCTCCCTCTGACCTTTCCCAGACAACCAGTACATTTGTCATTTTACTCATGCAGGACTTACTGTGTTTTACTTTTTTGCGGTCACGTGGGGGTCCTTGAGTGCCTTTTATCACCAATGATGCAGCAGAGGGGAACAACCTCAACACGTGCTTGACGGTTCTGAATGATGAGCTTCACTGTTACCTTAAGACCTTTCCAGCCCCAGTGGCTTTCATGATGTCATCACCAACCTTCTTTGGTGAGAGAACCCAAGGGACCAATCTTGGAGCAAGAGAAGAGGTGGCAGCCACTCTCTCCTCCAACACACCGCAAACACACTGAAAGAATTAATTTAAAGTAAATATCTTCTGTAGGTATACTGCTAAACATTTAAAAACAAGATTTTACTTTCATATTACAGTTAAGGGACAAAAATTTACAGTAGTGCCTTGATAATACTCTCCCTTGCACCAATAAATACACAGGATACAATTACAAAATATTAAGCCTAACAATTACAAAATACTAAGCCTATCATAAATGATTGGGGACTTTGCAGACATGTTAATGATAATCATTTTTCAAGTTAAAAAAAATTTTTAAATCAATACAAAGAAATTAAGTACCACCTCTAGAATTGGCCCACAGTTAACAGGAGGTTCATAGACCAACGACAAAAGAAATTAGCAAACTCTTCATAAACCAGTATAAATATTTAGTGATCCACTAAAAGTGGAAGATCCTAAATTTTTCCTCTTATCTCTACCCATCCTATAAATCACATATTTGACATTAGCAGAAGTCCTCTAGAACTCTCGATTAAAATATAAAACGCCCACACAAGCAGGACTGGAAATACTTTAAATGCAAATTATCACTTATCTGAATGCAAGCCCAAAATGTTGAAGTAAAGTTCTGCAATGAATTATGAAAAATCAATTAATAGTGTACACAACAGCCACACAAGAGAGGGAACAAGAGGAGAGATGCAATAAGTATATCTTCTGAATTACTGCCAAGTGACTGTACCTATATTTTTGTCCCCCCCCCCCTTTTTTTTTCTCTCCTGTGTCACTCATGCATGAACATTAATTGGAGATTTTTCATAAGCATTGCAAAATTTTCCTTCATTTTCAGTTTGCATCCAGATGAAGATTAAGTACCCAGCCCAGGGTATGCAGGGACTTCAAATTTAGAAGACCTGCTTTATCTGGGCTTGATAGTCCATCTTTATCTACACGAAGGCCCAGAATGTTACAGCAAAATTCTGTAACAAAGAAAAGTCATGACTAATCGTCATGTGATCAAAAGATGCGAAGGATATTGTGCTACTAGTTGGCAGTTTGATGCACTATCTGCTGATACATTATAAACATGTAAGCACACTATAATCTTAAACTTGTACACTAGTACAGAGGAATGAGAAAAGATTTAGTTCTGGTTAGCAGACAAATGTGAACACGTGTTTGCGTAAAGTTTTTTAGATTTCTTGGTTTCATATTAAGCACACAAAAAATGGAGCCCAAGTTATATTTCAACTTAACATATCCTTGATAAAGCTTGAACTGAATATACTGCACGTTCTGGTCTATTACGAATGGACAAATGATCTAGAAAACAGAAATCTTTTCTACATGGATAGACTGAGGGCATGAATTTACAATCTGGAAAGGCACAGAAGGAGGGGGGGGGGGACATGGCAGAAAGGGGAAGATAGTAAAAAAGGTTTAATATAACATTCTAAAAAATGTTGAACCAAGACAGGACAAAGCAATGCATTAAAGTTTTAAAATTTAGGCTTAGAAAATGTATAGAACATTGGTAATGGAGTTGAAGGATGAGTGGAAAAAACTCCTAAGCACTTATTGAAGAAAGAACCCTTTGGTAACTTTACGAAGGCTAAACAGGTACACAAGTGGACGAGAAAAACCTGCCTAGCATGGGCCAACAGTCCTACTGCAGTGTTCCTTTTAAGGTAAATATTGGCCTGGAAAGGTCTATATCATGTTTTTCTCATTTATCCATTTATTCAGATTAATTTGGTCAGAAATATCAGAAAAATATGCAGCTTAGCAACTTGCATAATACTCTGATACTGGCAAACCACCACCGCATCCATCAGTTACCTCAGTCAACATTACTCGGTTATCCTCAGCCCTACAGTCTGCACAAAATCATGAACCTTAATTTTTAATTTTTAGTGTCTTGCATAAAAAAAGTACAATACAATAATTTAACAGAACCCAGTTTAGCAGATTTTGATTTAAAGGACAATCTGGCTGACACTATGTGAAAGTTACAGGCAAGGCTGTTAAATACAGAATTATGCATTATTTTTTTGCAAAAACTGTTTGCCTATAATTTTATTAAGTCTAAAGTACAGAACTTCACCCATAGGAAAGTTATCAATTGATGACTTGGGAATGTCAGATTATCAGTATTCTAAATGTCGTGTTACATTTATGGGGAGATGGGAGCACTAAATCCAAAGAAGTCATACAGCATGTGCTGACAGATAACTATTCAAACCAGAGAAATAGTAGCTTCAATTCCTTGTATCAAAGAGTCCTCTACAAGCATCAAGGTGCCTTCTTTTAAGGTAATGTAAAAAAAAAATCTACAAGCAAAAATATGAACCATCATTAATTTATTACTATAATCACAAAGATCTGCTAAGCCCCCCCAGGGTAATTAAGTAAAAATATCACATTTTTATATTTAAATTAGTGAACACTTGCAGGGTTAGTGTTAACAGACCAGACAAGATTAATTAAGGAGCACTGAAATAGGCCTACTGGCTTATGTTTGACAGATCCTACTCTTCCCCAACCTTTTACCTACTTGGCCAACCTATGATGTTTGGGAATCTTTAATAATGAGGCATTTTGAGTCTACTTTAAGTCTGGACAATAAGTTCAGCTATTCCGATTAGGCTTAAATATGAATAACAACATTCTCTCATTAAGGGAGTTAAGGAATGAAGATATTTATATTTTGTCCCCTACAGGAAACTTCTTTGGTAAACAAACCTAACCAAATAAACCAATAAAAGAAAAAAAAATTAGGTTAGATTAGGATGGGTTACAGATACACTGCTACTTCTTGTAGCTAAAAGGTTCTTTATTCTATGTACCTAAAGTAAATCTCTCCATTCAAGAAATCATTAAAAAGAATTTATATAAAAAATCTAGAAGCCAGTCAATATGAAGCATATTTTAAACAGTTTAGTTACCCCAATGGAAACAAGTCAGACTTGTTTGGGTTATGCTCAGTAATTTACTGATAATTGTACTTAGTGTGCACCTGTGCCTAAATAAACTTATAATTTTTTGTTATAGCTATTTTGTGTCCCATGTGCCTTCCTAGTGACTATACTACCGCCCGTCCCGCAGCTTTTTAACAATGGCAAATAAGGTTATTCAGGTATACACAAATACAGTTACAGAGATTATCGTACATAACAGCATGTGTAGAGATCCTAGGATAACCGAAAGTTTTATTAAAAAAATCACCAAACATAAGTTACGCTTTATGTACAATCAATAGCAAGGTTAAGATTGTTACCGCGCGCTAACAAGCGGTCCCGCGTGGACGCTCGGACACTAATAACGGCTTTACTTCCAAATGATTTCTTGGCTACTATTAATTATTTCTTGCGATTTCTGGATATAATAATAAAACTGTGCTGGTTGTTAGTTGCAAATCTGGCGTAGTTAGACAAGGACTGTAACAAAGCTATACTCACATCTAGCCTAACTAGCTATGCCAAACAATATTTCTTTAAATTAAAAAAATATATTAATTTAAATAATTTGCATAATTTAATTGTAATAAAAGAAACCCGCGAGTGAAGCACCAGCTTCACATAATATAATACTAACAAGTACTCTTTCTTTCTTTCCAAATGCATGAAGGTGTTAGCCGCATCTAGACCAACATGTACACTGATGGTACATGTACACTGACAAATAAGAGTACATTAATATGGCTACCTTACCTTAGAGGCCCGGACGGCTGAGCCGACATGATACACCATCTCATGTATCGTACAATAACACAAGAATCTCAAGTTTACCGGTCTTGATCTCCGAGGGATCGAATTTAGCAGGCATTGTGGAAGGTTATGAGCACACAGGCGGGAGGATGAGTGAAGACAGGTGGTGGATGAACTCAGATGAGAACGACCACAGCAGTTGCACCCGTCGTGAGCTACAGCAGCCACTACAAGGACCACCACCTGCTGCTGCAATAATATTATTCATCCACTGGCAACTCACACCACTAACTCTCACACCTTTCATAAACTAAAATATCCATCTATGATAATTTCGGTCAGTGAATACTGATATATAGTTGACAAAAAAGACTACTTTAAAAATAAATTAGGTTCTTAAATACTTCAATATTTTTATCAACGAAATATTCATATTATGGATGTTTATTCTCAAAAATTATATTGATATATATTTCAAGTTCAAGAAGCAACACATTTATTTACTTTATAATTCTCTAGTAATTTTTTCTTTGAGTAAAATTATATACTAAATTTTAAATGAGTACTAATTTATTATTCGTATAATTCGCTGTACAAAATAAACTGACAACTTTCACTAGCGGGCTGCCACCTTTATCAAAAAATATCCAGTAATACGTATTTATTCTGAAAACTCGTTTTAATAACTTGTAATTAAACTTATGTTTTGTTAGTTATCTTATTGTTTTAAAAGTAAACCGACTGTAGATAAAGTACTAAAGTTATAATTCCACACCAATGGAAATAAGTCACTTACTTTTTGGGGGGGTTAACCTATAATAATAATAATATAATATCTTTATTTCTACATGTACATGTTACACAGTCCTAGCTGACATACTACTATATAGAAAGTAGCTTGTTATGCAGAGCATTACGGGCAAATTAGGTCAGTTTTGTCCCAGGATGCGACCCACACCAGTCAACTAACACCCAGGTACCCATTTTACTAATGGGTGAATATAGATAACCGGTGTAAAGAAACACGCCCAATGCTTCTGCCCTCGCCGGGAATCGAACCCAGACCCTCGCCGTATGAAGCGAAAGTTTTAGCCACCAGGCAACGGGGTAATTTACTCTACGTTAATTATACTTATGTATATGATGTTCAACGATGAGAAATTTCAGTTACTCCGATATGGTAAACATGAAATTAAAACTTCATCAGAGTACAAAACAAATTCCGGCCACAAAATAGAGCGAAAAATCAACGTCAAAGACCTGGGAGTGATCATGTCGGAGGATCTCACCTTCAAGGACCATAACATTGTATCAATCGAATCTGCTAGAAAAATGACAGGATGGATAATGAGAACCTTCAAAACTAGGGATGCCAAGCCCATGATGACACTCTTCAGGTCGCTTATTCTATCTAGGCTGGAATATTGCTGCACACTAACAGCACCTTTCAAGGCAGGTGAAATTGCTGACCTAGAAAATGTATCTCTCCCGCCTGCGTTCCAGGGAATACAGGTTCAGGAACTTCAAGCGCTCCCAGTAATTGAGGTGTTTTATCTCAGTTATGCGCACCGTGAAGGTTCTCTGTACATTCTCTAGGTCAGCAATTTCACCTGCCTTGAAAGGTGCTGTTAGTGTGCAGCAATATTCCAGCCTAGATAAAACAAGCGACCTGAAGAGTGTCATCATGGGCTTGGCATCTCTAGTTTTGAAGGTTCTCATTATCCATCCTGTCATTTTTCTAGCAGATGCGATTGATACAATGTTATGGTCCTTGAAGGCGAGATCCTACTCCATGATCACTCCCAGGTCTTTGACGTTGGTTTTTCACTCTATTTTGTGGCCGGAATTTGTGTTGTCCAGGTAACCTCCAGGTACTCTGATGAAGTTTTAATTTCCTCATGTTTACCACATCGGAGTAATTTAAATTTCTCATCGTTGAACTTCATATTGTTCTGCAGCCCATTGAAAGATTATAAGTACATAGTTACAAGTACAAATATTAAATGGGTCATACACCCACACGAGTGCGCGCACACACACACACACACACACACACACACACACACACACACACACACACACACACACACACACATAAAGGCATTGACAGCTTGACAGTTTAATATGTTTATTATGCACCCCAGACCCATCCTGTGGGCGGTAGTCAAAAGATTACAGAGGTACATAATGGGTCCAGGGACTGGACCTCAAAGTTTGATAGCTGAGCAAGTTACAAAGGTAATGAACTCCAGGTAGATATGGTCACAATCATGACCAGTTACAAAGGTATTTACAGAGTACAGAGGTACATAATGGGTCCAGGGACTGGGCCCCATAGTTCCTGATAGCTGAACAAGGTACAAGCGAAATGACCTCACAAGTTACAAAGGTAATGAATCATGTAAGTAAATTTAATTACTTACGTTTATACATGGCTAGAATCTTGAACAAATTATTGAGTAATGAGGCAATTCACACGTCCACACCAGTCACAAATGTTAATGAGTTTTGTTTATTGTTTTTTATATTTTATTTAAATACATTGTGTTCAACTTACATCATCACTTAAAATATTATCATCAACCCAGTAAAACAATACAAAAGAAAACGTGCACCACTTTATCCATACAGTTATGACGCATCCGTCTAATATACATGTCATGACAGTGGTTTCTTTACACAATTTATCACACATTGAAAAAATGACAATGAAAATGGTCAACTTTACAAAGTCGCTTTCAACATAACCATTCACATGTGCCCACAAAGTGTGGGGGGAAATATGGAAAAATATAATACATATACAAAAACAATATTAGTCATGCCCTGGAAAACAACCACCAAGGGATCGGACCAGGTGAACCTAATACGTTCGTTTAACGTCTACAGTAATACAATATGCTCCAAACTTCAGCTAAAATTACAAAAATCATGTCTAGGGACCACTTATGCAAATATCAAACTACCACCCCTAATCGGCAATCTGCACTGACGTGCATACACCCCACTGAATTCAGACAAAAAATTAGTCCAATGTACGGCACAAAGTACCAAATTATGACTACTTTCGGGGAACCCATGCCCTACCCTCAGGAACAACACACAAAATAACACATAAACCCATCCCCCCCCACTGCTGCACCTGGCCAGGTATCAGAAGGTCACAGCAGATGCCTCACACCACGCCCAATCATAACCCATGAACAAAAACTCCAAGGCAAAAAGGGTGCCCACCCCCCAGGAATGGGCCCCAGTGCACATCGAAACATATGGTTCTTTGTCGTACCGATGCGACTTAATACAGCATACACCAGTGCCTCCACTCCAAGGTGTAGCCAGTACTGGAACGTAAGTACCCCTAGAACATCACCAGAAGACCGGCTCTACCACACTAATAATTCCTCACTTGTAACCTCAACAACATCCTTCCACCTCAAATACAAGATCCATAAACACACACACACAGCCCCCCCCCAGGAGAGACCAGCCCTCCACTTCCCTCGATCCCCTACCTCCCTTAAATGCCCAATAAAATTCTCACGTTTTAAACTATGATAACCTACAAGGACAATCTCGCTCCCACCATACCCCATAAAGGGCTTTGGTTTCTACACAGTTCAAAATAGGGTCGCCGCCAAACCTTTCCGTGAACAACCCTCAGCCTGACCCCTCATTCACCCACAACACAAACACAAAAACAAGGATGAGGTATGCCATAGTTTGCTGCACAGGGCCACCCACCACTCCCAATCGAGACTCAATGCCCACAAACCGAAAATCCTGCCCCCACCTGTTCACACCTTCCCCATCCACTCCCTTACATTTGCCCAACCTTTCGCAAAAAATATCGCATGAAAAGCTGTGTCTCACTCCATAAACCCCCAACATTACCATCTTCCTGTATCCTATTGTCTCTGAGAACCCACCCTCGAGGGCAGGATACGCGTGGAGAATTTGAACATAAGCTCCCTCTCCTGCAGCCGTATGGCAAGCCTGCACAACCTACCCCAAATATCCCCCCATACATCGGATTTCTACCCCTTGTCCACTGTCGCCCTCTCCCTAAACCCCACGCTTTACTCGATATTTCCCACCTGGCATACCGTGTAGCATCCTTTGCATACCAAAAAGCTCCTGCAACTTGTTATCACATGCATGCAGGTCTTCCCCCCCCCCATTATCCTTACATTCTCATACAAAAGGTTTGGCAAACCAACTCCCTTACCTCCCATCAGAGGAACCCCCTTTCTCTTCTCTATTAACTTAAAATCTTACCCTTCAAATTATTTAACCCCGCCAGCCTATGGTCATGTGAGAGAGTAACAAACCCCTCTGCAAGCAATCACCCCCAACCCTCAAATAAACTGATTACTTCCCCAAACTATGTCCGATTCCGATTGCAACAATGAGTATCTTTGCAAGCTACATGCCGAATTTTATCTATTTCAGTAAAACAATGACCACAAAAAACCCCACGGATGTAGTGTTAGATGAACCGGGTCGCCAACCCGTCCAACCTGCCATGCACGCATGCACTACACTTCCTGAATTAACCCATCCTGGCTTGCGGCACATCCCCTCATTACTCATTCCCACCATAACTTAACATGATCTAAGGACACACGACTGCTCGGCTACCTCCCTCCCACCATCCCTACCAATCCCCCTACCCCATTAACTTGACTTCTCCACATTCACACCACATGCCTTATAGCCTTCCAAAGATTACAATCTTCCCCCACCCACCTAACCCTTCCCACTCATGTCTCGAGTTCGTCCCATCGTGGAGCTACGTAACCAATAATCCCCGGCAACTTCACGCTGCCCACTCCTCTTCACCCTCACACACGTCTCCACCACTCTATTAAATGCGGGTCCTGCAGACAGGCAGAAAGTAATAGGGACAAGCGAACATCCCTGGTGCAGACCTCTATCCATCTGGATCCACTCCCCCTCCCCTCCATTCACCTGCACCCGGAGACACCCATCCATGATACAATTGCCGCACCCATTACACAATTTTCATCACTCAACACCTGCCTCCCCATGATCCACCTATTATGCCTCCCTCTCAACACTATCATATGCCAACCTCCTGTCCAAGGCCAACACCCCTCCCCCGCTTCCTGCACACTCTCAACCAATCCCCATAATCACCCCATTTACCCTCATACATTGTCCTCCCTGGCACCCCTTATTGGCCCCTCGCAAACTACCTATCTATCACAATTTTCAACTGGTTCCCTAATATTTCTAGTGAAT